TGGGCTCGCTACATGGTCTTCGTATAAGACGTCGCTGGTTCGCTTTGGTCTCATCCTACGTTCGTCGCATGTCTGATGCTAATGATCGACTCTGGCCGATGCTATAGTGTGGTATGTTATGGTGCTCTTTCGATGTCCCTAGCTGACTTGTCCTTCGCCAACACAAGCACCTCTTCATTTCTGGCGCCTTTGGCGACTCAGATCTCAGACCCAGTGAAAACGTGCAGAATTTCCTTGAAATTAGAACCTATTAGTATATTTGCATGTATTTGCCTAACATTATTTCCGGCCACCTCGATGACGAAAGTCGCGCGTGACTTCGATTGTGTATCACAGCCCATCGAATGCATACGCAAGACGGACTCGAATGCACGACCGTGACGCTCGCAATACGTCCTGGATGGACTGACAGCTCGGACAATTGTCCGCGGCGCGTCTGTGCATCTAGCTTGAGTCTTGCTTTGGCTAGGCGGTGTGCGCTTTCGATTTGTTTTCAACTACCTGTCTCTCTCTAGTGGAATGGCTGGCTCTGGTAAACATGGCAATGGCACTACCGATAAATCTGGGCGCATATTTGGCTGTCAAGAAGGCTGCAAGGGGAGCAAGGGACTCATATCAGAGAAGATGTTCTGGTGACACACTCTGTTCCGCAAATCAGCGCAAGGTCACCAGATAAGCCGCCTTCTTGCAAAACATATACCGGAGACATCTACCAGACAAGATGCTGAGCCGAGTCAGCAACTTCCGCCTGCCAAAAGGCGGAAGCACTCGAGCCAACAGGCATCAGTATGTCACCGGATTCTGTTTAGCATCTATCGTCTAACAATAAGATGATTGGCCCATAGCCGCCCAGAAGCAGACCACCATCAGTCCCTTCTGGTACAGCTGCAAGTACTGCATCTATCCCGGTGCGCTCAGGTAACTTTTGGGACCCCTGCGCTGCTGGCGGTTCCGCTGCGTCTGCTACTCGTGGCCCTGAACAAGATGATGTTGCTCCTATGGACATCGAGATGGATGATTCTCGGGAAGGGCTGTCTGGAGAGGCTGGAGGGACTCCAGGCTCTCAGGCTGCCGGTTTGAATATACCCGCCACTCCCCGTCCTGATGTTGAAGATGTACCGGATGAAGGGGACCAACCTGCCAAGGCATAGGTGCGTCCAACAACTGGTCATATTACTCATCTGATATAACTACTCTATAGAAATGCACACTTGCAAAGGAGGGCAAGCTGCAGCCGTCGAAACGGAGGAAGAAGGATGACAGCACTGATGCTGGTGTCGTCGATTCTTGGTGGGTTCTTCCCCTATATTATGAGACGGCACTAACAGCATGCCACAGAGATTGCAACGTGGTGTCGCACTGTTCTCAGTAGGGTGTGTGGGCAACGGGCGTGCAGGCGACGGGGGTGCGGGGGTGCGGGAGGGGCGGGAGAACAGGAAATAGAAGGAAATATGTTATAAAATGCGGGTAAATCATGTAAATACAGTGGCGAGTAGAAGGTAGAGGGAAAATGGAAGTAAATTCACCAGAATGCCAATAAATTCCTAGAGAAATGTGGAGGGCTACCGCGGGGACAATAAATACCATAATCGGAATGCACTGCTGCTGTCCCTGTGTACTGTATCACGACTGGTCGCAAGGTATACCACCGGCGACAGCCGGCGCTTCTCGAGTTAGAGATGACATGTGACTGTTTCCTCGAAGCTTTCAATATTTTTGAGGACACGAACTTGGAAGCGCTTTCTTTCATCCCATCGGACAATCGCTGGCCGCTTCCTCCGCTGCAGAGACTGTGGATCGGGATTTCATGGGACTCATCACCGCCAGAGGTGGGCGCTATACACGATATGCTCCTATCTCGCTTGCAACGTTCGCAACATGAAGTCGGCCCTGATCCAACGTTGCGCTTCGCACGGATTGTTGCTCGAAGGCGATGCGAAGGTCGAGTATGGTCGTATGAGCACACGCACGGGAATGTCACGGAGCATACTCTAGAGGACGAGTCTCAGGGAAGAGTTCCTGATTCAAGGCACTGGAGATGCACCTGGTCGAAACGAATCTGGCTGCCACAGGCATGCGTGTATTTGTGCGCTAACGTTCTGCAAGTCTGCTCCAAAGGTATATCTGTCAAACATCGGTGAATGCAGTCCTTGCTGGTGATGATATGGGGCACTGTGACAATTCTCGGTAGGCTGAGAATCATCAAGATTGCCTGATAATGATGCCCCAAATGCGTGCCCGGGCCTCAGCTAGTCCATGTTGCCAAGCGCGATGTCGGTGGAAATAGCCCACTAAGTTACCTCCAGGTTCGAACACTGGGGATCCCTTTTACCTGGGTATATCCGTATTGTACGCGGCGGAATGATGGGTATGAGTTGGTCTCCAGCCGTGCATGAAGGGCTCGAGGAGGCCTGCTGTTGCTTCCGTCCTCGTTCCGCGCGAACAGCATGACTTTGACTTCGGCCAAGGAAGGGGCGCCTGGCAGGAATTCCATTCGTGTCTGATAAAGACCAGCGATAAGCAATAGACCTTATAATATTAAGATGGCCAGTTTAAGGTGGGGAGCTTGAATGTGACTTGCGCTGTCGCGTTATTTCATTCGGAAAGCCATACATGCCCGCGACGCAGCAAGCGCCTAACTCGTGCAGCTATCCGTCGTGCAATCGAAGTCGGCCATTCTCAATTCGGCCATTCTGGCAATTCACTGTGCCTGGTGTAGAGCACTCGCAGGAAGCTTGCAGTACCGTGACCGTCGAATGGATAGCCTAGAGAGGATGAGGATGATTCCTGGGGGTAAAAATCTTACAATTTATACCGTACAAACATATCAGAATACAAGACATAGAGAACAAATCGAGACAAGCTTCGTACTATCACTTTAACCTCGATCTGGCCAACACGGCAGCAATCAGCCCCGGCGCGTCGTTCGCCTGTATATGCGAGTCGATGAGGTCGCCGAGGTCATCTTCGCTGACGCCTTCCACATGCACGTCCGCGAGCTGCCGCGTGTTGGGTACGAACAGCAGCGTGACCGTCACCTGGCGGTTGTCGCCCGGCGCGGCGTCGACGAAGTACGTGAGGCGCAGCTCGTTCTCGGACACGCTGTGCTTGGAAGCGAGCCCAGTGATGGAGTGCATGAACGCCAGGGACGCCGTGAACCTGCGATGCAGACGTAATAAGCACACGTCCCACTAGCCGCGCGAAAAAGGCTTACCACTCGTACAGCGGCGCGACGCGCTCGTCCTCCACCTCCACCTTCACCGCCTTCACCTCCTTCTCCACCTCCGCGCGCCGCGCCCGCAGTCCCTCGAGCTCGCGCGCGCCCTCCTTCACACGCTCCTTCACGCGCGCGACCTGCTCGCCGAGGCCCTGCAGCTCCGCGTCCGACACCTGCATCTGCATAACCTGCTCATCAAGCTGTGCCTGCGCGGAGGTGAGCGTCAGGCGCGGGTGCGGGTGCGCCTGACGCAGGCGGGTGAGCGCGAGGCGCGCGTCGACGATCTTTTGTGAGAGGGAGGCGGCTTCGTCGGTCAGAGATTTGGCTTTTTGGTAGTCTGGACATGATTACTCGTGAGTTTCACAGTGATAGAGGAGGAGGAGGGGAGGGGAGACGCACCCTCCTCGACGAACGGGGCGAGGTTCCGGATGTCCTTGTACTTCTCCGCCAGCTTCACCTTCGCCGCCTTGAGCACCTTCTTCTTCTTCTCGTTGCTCGCGCGCAGCTCCTCCTTATCATGCGCGGTCACCGGCTGTGGGTCGTCGCTCACGATCGTCTTCACGTACTTGTCCTTCGCATTCTGTTCGAGATATTGGAACTTGAGTTTGTTGAGGAAGCTCTATGATGGTGTTAGCGAGTAACTATACAGGCGAGTAAAGACTCAGCATACTGTCTGTGCAGCCACATCCCCGGCGATGATTGCTGGATCCTTAATCGGCGCACCGCCGGGTTCGAGGAGCCCTGGCCAGTCTGCGATGTCGTCGAACCGTTTAGAGTCGAATTGGGAGCGCGCTTCGAGGATGTGAAGGCGGGCGTTGTGTAGAGTAGTTTGCAGCGTCCTCGCTGCTTCGAGCGCTGCGGCGCGCTGGCTCTCGTTGCTGGTGGACATGATGGCTGCAGTTTCGAGGACGTAGGAGGACTGAAGCCGAACGGCGGAATCGTGACGCGACGCGAGGAGAAATGCACGTGAAGCGTGACATGACATAACGCGATATATTTAAGGTCGCGTGTAATTGTCCCTGCTTTCCGAATTCTTCGTCCATTCGACTCTGCCGTAAAACAATCATTGCTTTCAACTTCAGCTGGAAAATGTCCTGGTCAAAGGCTCCCGTAAATATGGTGCCAGTCGAGCTTCTATCGGAAGTGTTCGTGCTTTGCCTACCAGGGGACTTGTATGGCTCTCCAGATCCCCTTCTCGCACCTCTGATATTCCTCCGACTTTGCCGCTACTGGGGAGATACTGCACTGTCAATCAAACAACTCTGGTGCGCACTGTCTGTCACTGCTCCTGAGAATACCGTCAGCGCCTCGCGCCGCCATCACGTCAAGCAATGGCTCGCTCGTTCCGGGACTGGACCGCTCCACCTCAAAATCCAAGCCGACGACCGGTCATTGTTGAAGGTCGATAGCTACATGCCGCTTTTGGCTCCGCATTTCCAGAGGTGCACGGAGCTCCATTTACACCTGCCTTTCGAGCACATCCGGGAGTTCCCTAACCTGCCCATGCCTGCCCTCGAGAGCGCGTGCTTGGTGCTCGACATGCAGTATCATTCCGGTCCGAACCATGAAGACCATCTAATAATATCGTTCGACTCATCTCCGCGCCTTCGTTCTGTCGACCTCGCGACCCGAGGGTATTTCCTATCGTACAATGCATGGCCGCTATATGCGCGGCTCACCAGACTGCAACTCCACAATATATTCACGGTACACCATCTTCGGGACGCCCTGCGCCGATGCGAAAGGCTAGAATACTGCAAGCTGCACTTCTCTGACAGGGCCGAGTACGACGCGGACGAACCTGAAAAGCTGATTTTACCGTCTCTCCGGGTGTTGGACGTAGACGTTACCTCCGTCGTTCTGGATGACCTCCTATTGACCTTCGTCTTCCCGGCACTACGAACCTTGCACATCAAAGTAGACGAAGACTTCTCCTCGGACGTTCTGCTCCGCCTACTCTCCGGCTCGAAGTGTCCCCTGGAAGACCTGCAGGTGTACGGTGCAAGACATCTATTTAACACCCGTACGGAATTTGATGCGTTCGCCACTCTGCTGGGCCCCTCGTTAAAGCGGCTGTGGTTGGGGGGAGTGCATCACAGTCGTGATGCCTTTAATCTCTGCTCTGGAAGAAATATCACTGCCCTCTCGTTTGTCCCCTCGGAGAATCGCTTCCCGCTGCCATTGTTGGAGGACCTTACAGTCGCATTTCCGTCGGACGTTTGCCCCGAAGAGGCAGACGTGCTGCCTGCGGAAGAAATGCTCCTCTCTCGGCTGCAGCGGGGAGATGACGATGACCAGGATCGTTGCCTGAAAATCGCGCTTATCGCCATACTGGCGGTGAACCAAGTCCAGTTATGGTCTTGCGAGAATGGCAGTATAAAGACGCAAGTCTGTGGGCCGCGAGAGCTGCTGCTGACAATGTGCGGAAAGCCGAGAACCGGTAGCGGCGTGAGTAGGCTTGAAGATGATACGGATTCGTTTGGGCCATTTTGACAAGCTGTATAGTGAAAGTCCTGTTCGTTGGTGTGTTCCCCAAATAATCGAACCATTGAGTTGCTCCAGATGTGTGTGTCGGATTTATCCTCGAAGGACCCCCACTGACCGTTTTGATAGAAGACTGCATGTGCACATCAGTTCCCGTGGCTTAGGTGGCAGGGTCCGGTATCGAGGAAGAGACGGCCAGGGGCTTGAGATGCCTTTCCCCGATGATCTTGACAACTCCGGCCTCTCATATTAAACCAGCCTTATATTTTGTAGACTCGGATCACAGACGTAATAAGATGCTTTTGGGTTCTGCCTGCCCTGACTCCGATTCGAACAGGACAGGATAACGTGGAGGCAGAAGCCGGCTCGCTGTCCCTAATCCGGGTGTGGCCAGTCCAGCGCGGATGGACGCTCGTGGGGCAGAGAACAGGTGGGCAACCACATGTGCGCTATCTCTTCTCCGGCTGCTCCTGGTGCGGACCGGGACCAAGTAAATGCTAAGTAAGGGTTTCTCGTAACACAGCGGGCATGGGAGTACGCACTTGGCCGTTGTTGAGTTCATTATGATGATAGACATAATAGAATCACAATGTATGGTGATTATACGGCTATTTTCGCCGGCTAAATATTTAGCCAGGCATATAATCAACATACTGTATCCTCCCTGCGTGTTAGTTCAGTTGCTTTTCGTCTACATTCACTGTAAATGATGCCTAAAACTACGTATTTCATGTCCCGTTGCCCGCGGTGTGAGGGGACGCGTCTTGCCACAGCACGTGATCCGTGACACGACAACGCTCGCGAGGGTCGCGCTTTCTTTCTCCAATTCTATTCGCGCATTTCCTCTGCTTCACCCTGCCACCAGCGGAGTGCATTGCTTCATCCGCAGGTGAGACAGCAGCATGTCTTCGTCGGGGGCCTCTATACAACATATACCGTATACCGGTCGAGCTCCTATCGGAGATATTCACGCTTTGCCTTCCGAAGGGCTTGTATGTTACTCCAAATCCCCGTCTCGCCCCTCTCATATTCCTCCGGGTCTGCCGCTACTGGAGGGAGGGTGCGCTGTCTACCTAGCAACTGTGCTCACTGTCCCTCGCCATTCCTAACAACACCAATACCGTCTTGCGTGGTCATCTTATCAGGCTTGCTCGCTCTGGGACGGGCCCTGTCCGCCTTAAAGTCAAAGTTGAAGGCGAGCTATCATTGAGAGCCGAGCATCACCTGCCACTCCTGATTCCACACTTCCACAGGTTCACAGGACTTCACTTAGATATCCCTCTTGGCCATCTCTGGGAGTTCCCTAACCTTGCCATGCATTCCCTTGAGAGCGCGACTTTGCTGGTCAACTTTCGTCGGCACTGGCTTCCGAGGGGTAAGGTAGATCCGTTAGAATTGTTTGGCGCTTCTCCTCGCCTTCGTTCCATCACTCATAAGGCCCACATCCTAGAAACGTCCGAGCATGCGTGCAGGTGCTCCAGATTTTCCGTGCTCCGGGTCCATGTTGTGTGCGAACCGTCACGCCGCGCCTTTTATGCACAGCGGGCAAGGACCGGTGTCCCGCCACCGGTCATTCATCTTTCACGGCAAAGGTGGGAGAACACTTTCCTAGGATGCTCCGTATCAGAACATGATACAGACATAAAGAATGAAAGGACAATGCTAATTAAATGTCCCCTGATTTTTAGGGACCATAGTAAATGTCCCGCAGACCTTTCTTCGTTCACTCAAAGGACATTCTTCATGTCCAGCTTATGGTCCAGCAAGGACCATTCTAGGAAAGTGTTCTCCCATCAGGGAGATGTTCCTGGCATGCCCGCCGGTGGGACATCGGTCTCTGCCTGCAGTGATGTTTTGTTCACACTCATCCGTGGGCTACTACATCTTCTGTATCATACCGTGAGATGTACGGTGTTGTACCCGTGTAATCCCTCATACTCATGCGTAAACATGCTGCAGTGACTGCTCCAAATGCAATGTAGTACATAGTGCATTATTGACATATGAAAGACACTATATAGACTGCAGTTGTGCAGGACATCACTCGACGAAACAACGGTATTGGACAGACTTAGAATACACTAATTTACAGACAGCAGAAGAGATCTGAGCTATGCCACATCCCAGTGTTTCAAAACGGTATCATCTTCACCGAATGCCACTCCTTGATAATCCCGAATGTGACCATGTCGCGGTCGAACTTGCCACCGACGCTCTCATAGATCTCCTTCCACTTGTTCAACATGGCTCGGTCCTTTTCCGTTTTTGTCCGCAGCGGCTCACTGTCCGGATGCGACTCGTCAAGCTGGGACGGACACTCGTACGGAACGTAACGGGTGGCGAAGAACATGTGTGTTATGCGATCGTCAGTCACGCTCGGCTCGTCATCACTGGCAGCATAGCGAGCTGGGGACTGGGGTGAGGAAGAGAGCACGCGGCATTATAGTGAGTACTGACCCCTCATCCTCGGGAGGTACCTTCACAGTTTCGGGTCGAGCTTCTTTTGCCAACTACAGTACTCACTGATATGTTCGACGAAGGGATCGCCGCCAAACTCTTCATCCTCCCAGTCACGGAGCACAGGAAGACTGCAGACGAACTTCCCAAAATTCTCTGGAGTAATCAGGTAGCCGCTAAATGCGGCAAACTTGTACTTTGAACACTTGCAGGACATGATGAGGGGAAGGAGAATAGGGAGATGCATCTTGGGACGCGCGGTGGATTCGCTCAACACGCGCGCGTCACATGTTCTGAACCGCCAGCCACATGACATGGTACGTGACATAACCTGACATAACGCGCATATACATCGCGTCGCAACGAATTTGAGTCCTGCGCATGTCCAGCTCCCTCCGAGTCCCAACGTTTCATCATTGACAAAGGTCTTGCCGAGAATGTCTCTAAATGTTGTATTTGAACGGTCTCCTATGGATGGACTTCCTCTCGACGTTCTCTTCGGGATATTTGTCCAATGTCTTCCCTATGACGAGTATATCAAGCCCGACCCCCTTGGTGCTCCTCTGCTTTTCCTATAGCTACAGGTCTGCGAGTACTGGGGAGAAGTGGCGCCATGTATCAAACATCTCTGGAGGTATCTATGTATCACCGTCCCGGCGGGCGCCGATGGCCCATGCCAGTATGACCTCATGCAAGAATGGCTAGGACCCTCCGGAATCAGTCCCTTGTCTGTTAGGCTTGAGATATCCTTGTGGACCTTACCTGAAGCTTCCGGGTGCTTGTCGATGCTAAAATCATACGCTCCAAGATATGCTAGCCTTTCCCTACGCGTCCCCATCGAGCGTCTTGTTGCCATCCGTGACCTCTGCATGCCCCCTCTGCGCACAGCAAGCTTGGCCACCTATGCATGCGGGCGCGAAGCCGATGACCCGCTTAGTGACCGTATAGTGCTCTTCTCGTCGCCCCCTCATCTTCATTCTCTTCGACTCTCGCTACACTCCGACTTCCCGCTAAAGCGTTTCCAGCTGTCATTTTCTCAGATCAGAAATCTTGAACTGGAATACATAGAGAATCTTCCCACTTTGCTATACACCCTGCGTCAATCTCCGATGCTTCACTCATGCAAAATGAGTTTTGGGGACGAAATCATGAACTACGAGATTGCTGGGGCGAAAGTGCGCCTGCCTGTGCTCGAAAAGCTGGATATAGACTTCTGTGGCTTCGAACTGGACGACCTGCTCCTTTGCTTCGTCACGCCCGCACTGCGAGCCCTGCGCCTCAAGATTGACGGTGGCTGTAATTCCCGCTTCCTGCATCAGATGCTCATGGAGTCGGCCTGTCACGATGGACAAGATCAAGATGTCGCAAGTCTGGACTTGGGAGATCGGGAACGACGGAGGAATCCAGCGGAATTATTCCTGCTCTGCGCATGAGGCTGGAACTTCTGAAGATGCGCGACACTCTTCGGTCGCCCCCGCCGGTACAAATGAGGAATTCATACAAACATGCTTGTCGGCGTCGCTAACAGCCTAGGAGTCAGGTAGCTGGACAGATATGCATGCGGCATGCTCGATGTACAATACAAGTGAATGATACATGAATCCAGAGCGGTCGAGTCTCGCTATCAGTGCGCGTTGGATGTGCCGACACAGACGCAGGGCTTCGCAAGCCTGAGGCAGAAAGGGACACGCCCGGACGACAGAGGACGTCCTTCACCATTCATAGACTCGGTCCATCGGGCCCTGGAACGCCCCCCGCTGCGCGTCCGACGCCTTCAACGCCTCGGGGTTGAGCTGCTCCACCCGGTAGTTCTTCCCGCCCAACCAGTCGACCTCCGCGACGCGGTGCACGACGGTCGACCAGCTGCCCAGGGACAGGTCGAGGTTGAAATCGGTGGGGTGGGCGGTGTGGAAGTCGCACTGCACGATGATGCGGCCGCTTTTCTTGGCGATGCGTTGGATGAAGCCGGTCTGCCACGAGTACCATCGTCAACGAGAGACCTTGCTGAGAAGGGAGAACAGCATACGATGTACCCAGCGACGTCCGCTTGGTCCTCTTCCCCAGGAACAATGCGGTTCTTCTGGTCCATACCCTTCGGTTTCCCGTGGAACCTCATCACCCAGTACACCCTCAAGCCCCGCGCTTCGACGCCGAGGTTGAAGTGGTGCGTCTCGTTCTGGTCGATGACCATCACGTAGCCGCCGTGCGGGCACTTTGCGAGCCATGCGTCGAGCAGGGCGCGCACGGAGACGTGTGGACGCTTGTTCTGCTCGAGGAGCGCGAGGATGCGCGAGGTGTCTTGCGGAGAGGAGGCGGGCGCGGGGTCGGGCTTGCCGCAAGTGGGTTTGTGGGATTTCCAGTCGGCGCGCTGGCAGTCTTTGGTGCAGCTGTGGGGGTGAGGAAGGGGGATGGGGACTGGGCGTGGTGGGACGTACTAGTATACTTTCTTACACCTTGAACATTTGTTCCTCGTCATGGTACCGCATATCGCGCAGTCCTGATGCGTACTGACTAGTCAATACTCTCGAGAAAGGCAGCTATGAATGAGAGGGTACACGCTTTTGCATCCAAGTCGACCTCAAACATAGCCTGGCATTCCTCTCGCATATACCCGTCCTCGTCCCAGATGCTCTCGCGCTCCTCCTTCGTCCACGCATTCATGGTCTTCCTCACAAATTTAGGGATTCGCTCCTCGTCATCCCTCGTCCAGCGTCGTTTATCCACCAGGCCCTTCCGCGCCGTCTCAGTCGCGTTCCATACCTTCTTTTCCGGAGGGGGCGCATCCTGCAGACTGAGCTCCGAAGCGAACTGCCGTAGCAGCTCATCCAGTTTTTGTTCGGTCATTGTTGTGTATCGCAGGAGGTATCGCGCAGGCTAAGGTCAATATAGAATCACAGATACATTGCTGAAAGAGATGCAAAGCAAGCGCTCTGCTCCATCGAGGTCTCAATGAGGCGCGTCCCCGTGACCCGCTCGCGATTGTCACGTGCGCGACGCGGTTGCTACTCGACAGGCGCTTCTCCAGGTCCTGCTTCCGACTTCGAACCGTCCATCAAGCTCCGGGCGACACGGCAACACTCCTTTGCTACGACTCTCTTTCGCATACTCTATGGCACACAAAGTGAAGATTGCGGCGAGGCTGCGTCCGCGTATTGGCGCGGAACTGGAGGACGACTCGATTCAGGTTGTGAATGAAGACGGGGGATCGTGTATTTGCGTTGTTAATCCGAGGGACCCCAATTCCTACTTCCGATTTCCGTGCGTTTTGTCATCGAGTTTTGGAGATGGTTAGGGCTTATGATGGACTGCGCAGTTTTTCTTCTTGTTATGACCAGTCATCGACGCAGGAGGAGATATTCGAGAACGACGTCCGACCTTTGATTGACGTAGCATTTCATGGAGTCGTACGTTTCCAGCACGACAGCTTATCCCGGCGTTGGCAACTCACGATATTCATACTGCCAGACAGTAACGATATTCGCGTATGGTGTGACGTCGTCAGGGAAAACCCATACAATGCAGGGAACTAAGGCAGAGCCAGGAGTCATCCCGAGGGTTGTCAGGGTGTGTGCATAATTCAGCTTGCTTGACCTCTGCTCTGACGTCTCTCCGTTTATTTCCGTCAGGCATTAGTCGATCAGAAGTCTGCGCTGCCACCAGGGAAGGTTTCTCTGGCAGCTTCGTACTATGAGATATACCGGGACGACGTTTACGACCTATTCGTGCAGCGTGACCAGGTGCGTCTTTTGCTTGTATGTACCTCGTTAGTGCCATGATTGTATCTGGACCACAGGCACCCAAATTACCTGTTCGCGAGAACGACGTCGGCCAAGTGTTCGTGGCGAACCTGTCCACCGAGCCGATAGACACCTATGCCGATTTCGACGCCCTCTTCTCGTAAGACCTCCGCTCGCTTTTCGGCTTCTGCTACCTAACTTCGTTCTGTGCCCGTTAGTCGCGCTAACAAGCAGCGCTCCGTCGGCGCGACGAATCTGAACCGTGCATCCTCGCGGTCGCATGCTATACTCAGTATGGAAATTACTATGAGGGACGAGGACAAGAGTGAGCGTTATGGCGGGTATCTGTTAATGCACTTTGACTCATGATATGCTAGTCCTCACGGGCAAGATCAACCTGGTGGACCTGGCGGGCTCGGAGAACAACAAGGTACGTATTCCACCCGTTCGGTCCGATAGGTCGAATCACGGGCTTCATTCTTCTTAGCTTACTGGAAACGACGCCACTCGCATGGCAGAGTCCGCTGCTATCAACAAATCCCTCAGCGTCCTCGGGCAAGTCGTACACGCACTAAATCAAGGAGCTGTGAGTTATTGTATTTTGTGAGGCATGGATTATAACTAATAGTTTCACTTGCAAGTCACGGATACCCTATCGCAACTCGAAGCTCACTCGTATTCTTCAAGACGCTCTCGGCGGATCGTCTGTAGGGTTGTTAATATGCAATCTCGCGCCTGGCGCCAAGTTCCGCCAAGATACCCTAAACACGCTCAAGTACGGGCATTTCCATTATTGCAGCCGCAGCACCATTTGACCACGTACCGACAGTTTCGCTGTCCGCACCAAGAACGTCGAGAACAAACCCGTCGTCAACGAACGTGGTATGCAGTACTGTTCTCTACGCATATGTCCATCCATTAATTGACTGCCGCGCAGATAATGCTCCCCCGCCAAGACGCCACTTCGCCGCTGCACCTCCACCAGCGCCCAAGCTCGCCCCGGCTGCCTTACCGCCCGCGTTCAACTCCACAGCAGGGCATTCCCGGCAATCGCTCGCGGGCCCCTCGCGTGTGCCGAGACCCTCGATGGCTATGGCTGGCCGCCCGAGTATCGCGCCCGTCCACCAGAAAACACGCCAGCGCGCGCAGGCACCTCCGCCTAGCACGCTTGTTACACTCAGCGAGAGCGAGATCGACGCCAGAGTACGATATTCGAGCTCCTTGTTTTCGTGCATGTTACAAGCGCTGATCGTTCTTGAATGCAGATAGCGAAGGCCGTGGAGGCGGAGGTGGCGAGGCGCCTTGCGGCTGCTGAGCAGGCGCGCCGGGAAGAGGAGGAGGAGCGCAGCGTCGAGCAGGAGCTGTCGCGGTCCGAAGAGGGCCCGTCTGTGTCCGGCTCGACGTCGATGGACTCGGAGAAGCCGATACCCTCTGGGATACTCACCCCGCTGTTGAAACGGCACAAGGACCTCGACGACGAGCTCCGGCAGCGCTTGCAGGATCTAGAGAAGAAATTGTGAGCTCCACCATGGTCTTCCACATGTAGTCAGCGCTTTCTGACTTGTGTTTGATAGCGAACGGAGTAGCAAGGAGCTGCAGCTGGTGGACGTTCTTTCGCCCGTATCAAGGAAGAAGACGGGACGCGCGTACGTGGCGCTCGCGCGGGCCCACTCAGAGAAGTACGTGCCAGGAGGCTATGACGGGTGTATTCACTGACGATGAAGTATTATGATTATTATAGAGGCAACCTCCAAGTGGCGCTAGAGCTGTACCGCAAGGCCGAGACGTACGTGCCGGATAATATGAAGCTCAAGGAACGGTAAGAGCGCAAGCGTTTCCATGGCTGAATGAGTCGTGTTCTCATGTCACACGTGCTGGTAGGATCATCGAGATCGAGTGGGCTGTCAAGAACGGCAAGGAGTTCCAGCCTTCGCCGAAGAAGGCCAAGAAGCCCAAGGGCAAGAAACGCTCGCGCTCCAAGGGCCCTAAACAAGCCCGGCAGCCTGACCCGGCGGGGCAAGACGAGAACGCAGATCCCAATGTCCTCGAGGAAGCCATGAGCAAGATCGGCAAGAGGCCCGTGGGCGAGCTAGGGGAGGGGGACGACGTGAGTGTCCAGACGCCGCCGAAGAAGATGAAGACGGGGTTTTCGGTCCTTGATGGGATTGACGAGGCGCAGGAAGTGGACCCACCGGTCCTCGGGAAGAAGGGGCAGAAGAGGTTAGAGAGTCCGTTGTGAGCGGTATCTGTATGTTGGTTGTATGGCCTGGAGTGGGATTGTATTCTAATATGTATAGGACTCTCGGCGTTGGATGGGTGTCCGTTTCTATCACTGACATCAAGGCGGATTCCTGGTCATGTGCGTCGATACTTTCTTTCACTAGCCTACATTATCTTCCCGGCCCCCTTCCGCTCTTATGATGAGCATTTGGGCTGCTTTGCCTGCTACTCAGCTCTGCGATCATGGACCTCACCAACTTTGCGAGCCTCGCAATTGAAAATGAATATTCTATCCTGCATCCCACATGGGTATTGTACATTTCCCGAAGAACATCAGTTACAAGCTTCAGTACATTGAATTCAAAATCAATTGCCGTCAGCATTCATGCTCATCTGTCTGATTCTATTCAACTCTTCAACAAACAAGGCCCGAGGATCAAATAAGGACATCCAGCGACCATACCGACCGCGAGTCGAGATACGGTCATCATTAATAGAATACATGATCACCTTGTTGCCTGCCAAACCAACAGCCAGAAGCTTCTCATGGGCCCTGGTACCGACCCAGTCGACATATTCTGTCAATTGGCGGGTAACTGCCCAACGGTCACGTTCGGATGATCCAACCTCGATCACAACTCGAACTATGTCGGCGTGCGGGTTCTCGTCCGTGTCCGCTCCCCAGTACTGATCAATGTTGAAATCAGGGTAGCGTTTTTCCTTTGTAACCGCAACCCCTGTGAAAACATCAGGATGCTACGTGAGGGCGCAGGATCATATGACTGACCATGAGAATCAACAGATTCGAAGGAGACGTCTCCCACCTCCTCCGAGTCCTCTTCTTCAGTTACTCCCCTTTCATCCCCACCCTCACCTTCTCCATCCCCTTCGGCCAAATCCTCTAATCCTACAGAGGGCGAGTTAAGGACCTGCTGGCAATGAAGGCAGATAAGCATCGGATGGTTGCACGAACCTATCAGTCCCTCAGCTGTCTCCTTTCGGAGCAGTGCCTGAGGCTTCACTAAGAACTGCTCTGGACCAAACTTGAGAGACAGGTATGCATTGAGGGGTCCATAGACCTGATGTTGATGTTTGGGTGGAGAGTGCTCCCAAGCATCTATACGCTCCTGCAGACGTTGCGGTAGATTCTGGGCTGGGTCAAACATAGCAGTAGAACGTCGGGGGAATAGGATCAACAGAGACTTTACTACTTATACCGTGAATACAATCAAGGCCCCAGACGCGGTCAATGATCCACAAGTAAGACGGATTATACGAGTCCGTGTATGTCGCAGTGGCTGACTGGTTCACAACAATAACGATGGCAAGGTACAATGAAGAGACTGCCCCGTATGACCCGGCCACGTCGATCGGATGGGTATATTTTACCTATGTCGGGTAGCAATGAGTGGAAAGAACAATGTGCTGTACATGTACAATGCGACGTGGACGCGTTCATAGCCATATACGGTAGACAATGTCGTCGTTTTGTCCTCGGCAGTTGATGGGAGAAGTGCAGTTCTACGTGATAGTCACGTGATCTTCATCTGACTATATGTAGTACACCAGTCACATTAGTTGAACTGCATCCAGCTCGCGTACTCCATAATGTCGTCCCGTGTTCCGAAGTCGAAGTCTGGCGTCTTCAGCGGCTATCTGATCGATCCGGACAAGTTCAAGGAATTCGTCTCCAGTCTGCCCGTTGAAAAGGTCTGGGAGGACGAGGAATGCTTCGGCGATCCCTATGAAGCACTCATAATTGGGTACTGCAATTGGCGCCTCCAGGTTGGGCGCGTCAACCCGCAGAAAAAGAAGTATTTACCCAGAATCAGAGGTCAGTCGTCTCCACGGTACGCTTTTCTCGATCTCACGGGGCCGTCCAGTTCGCCACGCTCTGCCCGGCGAGCCCAGTGTGACGCAGGACCGGATAACCCACATGTTCTTCGCCACTCGCTGCGTACCATATAAACGTAGCTCTCAGATGGATGAGTCGCACCCGGACAGCCAACGACTTCGGGAGGAGACGGAGAGAGATCGGGCTTTGTTTAACGTATTTAAGCAGACCGTGGAAAGTGAGGGTGGTAAGATCGACCGGGACATGGTCACCTTCGGGATTATCAGAGACTGGCACCCTGCTCACGATCCATTCTGCGTATGTCCTCCATATGACTGCTCTGTTTGCTCTTAAGCTTACCGTGTCCCTCCAGTTCTGAACGTCGCCCGTTGGACAGTCGATGTCTCCACCGTCCTCTGCCACTTTCGGCACCGCGGTCATCATCTTTCGTGGTGGCGGATGTGTATTTGGGTAAGCATAGCTTGCTTTCTCTGCTGTTTGTAAATTGGTGTACTATATTTCCGCTCTATACCGTTGTGTCATCAAATAAATACCCTGAACAGCTGCAGCATGCCATCCGTGGGTCAACATTCAAGATAAGTTGCATTACACAAGGACTAGCTCTGCGCCACACATGTGAATACTCGTCACGAGGACGATACCGTAGGTCATACGGAGTCATAGATGACGAGAAACAAAACGAAATCACGGAAATACCAAATAATATAGATAGTTTACTGCACTCGTCCTGCGTGCTGTGCGCCCTCCGACGTCTGGACACATGCAACAGAAGGCGAAGCAGCAGCTCATGGGGGACGTGGAGCAGCTTGGGCCGCCAACGCTCAGCGCATCCTCGAGCTCGACGAGAAAAGTTCGGAAATCGAGAGGCTGTCGGCTGAGCTGGTCGTCTCCCAGGCTCGCGAGGCCGAGCTTGTCTCTAAGATTCAAGACATGGAGCTCGCGAAAGCAGCGGATGCTTCCCGGCATGAGGCCGAGACTACCTCTGTGAGGTCCTCCTTGGAGTCGATGCAGCGCGACGTGAAGGATCTTGGAGCCCAGCTAAGAGTGAGCGTCGCCGCACGCGTCAAACTTGAAACGGAGGTCAAGAACCTCTACGCCAAGTTGGACTCCGCGCGTTCGTCGCTGGAAGCAGAGACCGCTCGTTCGGCTGCAATGGAGAAGGACCTTAGACAGGTCACGGCGAAGATCCACGCACTGCAAGATGAGCTTGAACGTGCTGTGGCTGCGAGGCGGGCCGAGCAAAGTAAGCTCGCGACTCTCGTCAGTGGATACAACAAGCTTCGCAAGCAGCAGATGGATTCGTATGCCGAGTTTGACCAGATGGTAAGTGATGTCAGCAATACAATGGATGAGTCCACTGACTGCTGCTCGTAGGGGCTACTTCGAGTTCCCCGTTCAAAGCCTTCGACTGTTCCTCAGCGTTCTGCAGGCGCGCGCGCATCTCATCCAGTGTGAGCTCAAGCTCGGACATGTGGATCTTGCTCCGGCTCAGCTCAGACTGGAGGGCAGAGACGTCTGCCTGCAATTTCGTTTCAGAGGAGTGGAGAGCAGCGACAGCGCCGTTCTCCTCCGCGAGTTCATTCTGCAGGTTCTGGATCGAAGTGTTCGCATTTGACAGATCGATCTGCAGAGTGTCGCGCGACACCTCAAGCTGTTGCTCGAGGTTAGCGATCGCAGCCTCCAGAGAAGTCACTTGGGTCTTCAGGCCGTCGACTTCCTGCTTGTAGCGCGCGATCTCAGCGTCCTTCTGCTGCACCACCTGGGCGTTGGCGTCGCGAGCCTCACTCAACCGTTGCTCAAGTTCAGCCTTATTTGCCACCATGGTGGTATTTTTAGCTCGCAGCGCAGCAATGGTCTCCTCCGACGCGTGCACTCGTCAGAATAGAGTAGAAATCTCGGACTCCTCATGGTACTGAGATTGTCGCGAGCATTGGCCAGCTCAGCCTAAACGGCAGATAGTTCGGACGTGAGCGAAGACTTATCTTGCATCAGGTCACTGATAGTGACGTCCTTCTCGGCCAAATTCTTCTCGAGTTCTACTTCATGTAAGCGAAGAACGGCAGATGATTGTTCAAGGGACGCCAGATTATCGTGGAGAGACGCTATCTCCTTATCCTTGGACGCCAGTGTGATGTCCTTGGAAGCCGCCAGCTCCTTCTCAGAGCTCAACTCGGCCAACAGGTCCGCAATGCGTTGTTCACGCTCTGAGATGATTGCCTGGGTCGCCTTCTTCTCCGACTCGAGCTTGCTCGTCAGCGAACATAGCTCGGATGCGCGACATTCAGAGACTCGTTCCAGGGATGCAATTTGCAAGGCGGATCAGACGATATAATTCCACGTGGATTGCAGGCCTCTTACCTTCCCCTGGTACTCCGAGTCCAGCGTGGCCCTGAGCTTCGCAAGCACTGCCATTTGAGCCTTCTCTTGCATGCCTCGCGGAGACCACTCCGGAAAATCAACAAGGCCATCGCATTGCCGCTGTCCTTGCCAAGGCCGCGCCGCCAACGCTGGCACGAGGGTGTCGCCCTCATCATCATAGGTCATACTGGCATCATCGTACGCTGGCTCCGGTTCGGGCGTCCCGGACGTACTGGGCGCAGGCGTGGGCTGCTTGCTCAGCTGGGATATGAAGGAGCCAGCCTGAGTGCGGACAAGTCCATCCATTGCCCTGGGGTGATACGTGGAGATGGAAGAAACTGGTGGGGTACTGTATGTCTATGTATGTAAGCGACGTAACGCGTAACGCAGCCTCCGTTGCGTTACCCGGAGCGCACTTGGTAACGCGTAACGCAGAGGTTGTTGTCTTCTCCGGGGAAGTGTAACGCTCGTCAAAAATTCGATTTTTGGTGGGATTTAGCTACGAATATTATTCCGTCAATATATCTCAGCAGTTAAAAATCAAGTATTATATTGTAGAGTGCTTCTTTGCATCCCTAATATGGAAGGATCATATGTAGAAGCGCATGGGTACTTACTGGTCGGGTTGCGGTTGCTAATTTTACCAATGTAACGCGTAACGCCGGCTTTGTTACTTCGAGGGGTGCCATTTCAAGGTGTAACGCTGTGCGCCCGGTTGCTTACATACATAGACATACAGTATTAGCACGAGGAGGCTCCGGTACGCTGCAAAATGTCACTGTCACATGTGTCAGCGTTATCGAAGTACATAAGTCACGTGACAGTTTATTTAGACGCGCTGTTCCTTCGCGCCACTTAGTCTCGAGTCCATTATCCCCCGGATCGCACCGATGTCCTCCGACGTTCCAAAGTCAAAGTCTGCCGTCTTCAGCGGCTACTTGATGTCTCCAGACAAGTTCAAAGAATTTGTCTATAGTCTGCCCGTTGCACGGCCCTGGGAGGACGAGGAATACTACGGCGATCCCTATGAGGCAATTATAGGTGAATATTCCTATTGGCGCAGGCACGTTGACCCGAAGAAAAAGAAATATCTACCCATGATTAGAGGTAACTCGCCTTCAATGTATATAGCATGTATATCATTTTGACAGCTTCATCCAGCGCGCTTTGCTGAAAGCGGCGACGAGCCCGGCGTCACGCGCGACCGAATAACCCATCTGTTGTTCGCAACCCGTTATGTACCCTATAAAGGTCCTTCGCAGATGAGCGTGTCACATCCAAATAGCTTGCCACTTCTGACCGAGACGGAGAGAGACCGCGCATTGTTTAACGTGTTCAAACAGACTGGAGAGTGAGGGTGGTAAAATCGACAAGGATATGGTCAGCTTTGGGATTATCAGAGACTGGCACCCGGCTCATAGTCCATACTGTGTATGTTCTTTGTTTGGCCTCTATCAGCTCTTCATACTCATACTATCTCTAGTTTTGAACTTCATGCTCAGTCAGCTGGGCATGTGATCAGTCTATCCACTGTAATCTCAGCCAGCTTAAGCCTGACACTTCACCTCTCAAACCAGGCTCTAAATGACAGCAAGTGTTCACTATTAGCTCACTTCTCCATGCCGCAGTCTCTAGCTCTCAGGACCATGTGTAGAATCCAAGAGACGGTTCAGGTCGCATGCAGTATTTGATTGAGTTTGCCTTGGGTTTTGGATGTCTCTGCTGTTTGTAAATCAATGTATATTTTCGATATTTCCCGTTGATTCCAGTGTCATGATACAAACATGCTGAATAACTGCCAGTGGTACGCGCCAATGCACGCCACTTGAACGCCTCCATCTTCCCCTTCACCATGTCTTCCACATATTGGAGATCAAAGTCTGCTGCACTCCGTGGCTACTTTCTCGGAGAGTACATCGAACTCTCCACAGCAGACTGTTGAAACACAGCCTTGTAAACGGATGAAAGGTTGGGGGCGCCGGGCTGCGCTGGGGCGATATTCCAGGACCCCTGAAAATACCGATGGACCAATTCCGTAAAAAAGTGAGATCTGGAGGCCGTATGTAAGATATGGCTGCGGTAAAATGTGGCGAAGCACCCAAGAGGCCGGATACTTCAGTCCCGGTAGGAATGAGGCTCGATATCCAAGGTATATACCCGGCTTCTCCCGGCGCTCAATCACTCGCTTGTGCAGCCACAATTTGCCCCAATAAATATTTGACTTGAGATTGCACTGTTTTGGCAACATTTGGCCTATATATGGTATATTGTAGCGAAAAATGTCTTATTTTGATCAAATTTGGCTAAGATAAACCCTTGTAACCGGATGAAAATCCGGAGGTTGGATATCTGGGTCCCGGTAAATCTCGAGCCACACGGCTACACGGCCTGCCCAGAATCTGGTGAAAAAATCCAAGGGGCATTCATGCAAATGTTGGTAGTATAGTTATCACTACTTTTGCATAACAGTCGCACTCATTTTGCGTGCGTGCCATTTGTGCAACCGTTGCAATACAGGTTGCAAAGGATTTGCGTCGTGGATTCCATTGCGCAATATTCTGACTTGGACTTATCGGCACGGGAGCGTGCCGGTGGTCTCGTGACACGTCGCGTCGCTCCCTCTTCATGCCGAGGTGCCGGAGTTCAATCTCCGCTCGTAACGGTTGGAGTTGGGCTTGAACAAATTTCTCTCTCATCCTCTCTTTCCCTTCAACCACCACCATCTGCCCGTCCTCGCCTCACTTCCGCTCAGCCTCTTGTAGCTGCTGTCTCTACTCGACATGGTACGTGTACCATATCTATAGCGATGCTTCGCTGATGCTCGACTTGCATGGGTAAGTGTGATACTCTTCCAGTCTCCGAACATACTGATGATGCAGAAGTTGTATAGGCCGACGAGCGTGCGGCATATCACCTTAGTAGTATTTTCATTTCTGTAACAGCAGGTGCACCATATGCAGATTGGGTCTTGCGACATGCAAGATGTATCATTAGATGCTCAGATGTGTATGTAGTAGATACATATAATGATTACATTGTTTTCCATGCATTCATATGAGCTGCGCCGTCGAGCAACGGGGTGGGAAAGGGGACCAATCCAGGCATATGATATGGGATGGCGTGATTGATGTTATTATTCCCGTGTGGGTCATGTGACCCTATTTGTGGAACATTTGCGCTATCCCCCGGCAAGAAACTCATGCAAATATTCGGTCTGATTCATTCGCGAGGGCGATTTTCTTGCTCCTGTTTGGCAATCTCAGCGCAAACGTTTGATTCTGGATTTTGACGCAACATTTGTACAAATACTGCCGGGCTGTGTAGGTTGGTATCGCGTCCCGGTAAAACCAGCCAAATTACACGAAATTCAGTCCCGGTAAAATGAAGGAATTCAGGTTCTCTGGTATCTAACCTCCATTGGTACTTTCAGGGGTCCTGATATTCCTCGCGTTATGTCATAGGACCCCGGCATACTGGTATATATGTTAGATCCTAGTGCGGACATAAACGGCCAATTTTGAGGCCCTATGTCGGATATTTAGGCGGACATAAAGCCCAAAATTTCGGTCCATGTCCGGTATATCACGGCGGACACAAGGGCCTTGCCGGTCTTGGTGTCCGATCACCTGGCGGACATACCAAGTCGTCGCAGTAGTCCTTGTACTAGGTTGAGTGGTGTCTCTTATGTTTCTCAGTCAACTGTCAGCTCGTCTCGTGTATATCCAGGTATATCCTCAGCAACGGTGAATGAAATGCAAGCTTTGGAAACAGTGGTGGATCTTAGGAAGACTGAAATACAATATCCCGGAGTAATCATGTCACGATCTACTCGTTGCAGCGTTGGGCGTGTGCCGGTTTCGAGGTTGGATCCGTTTGGCGGACACACCGGGGGGCGCCCGAGCATATGTCACTTATGCGGACATAAGCAGCCCAATTTGGGCTGACCGGATCCTAGAGGCGGACATATCCGGTCCAAATGTGTGAGGCCATAAGGGCCGAAAATCGGGCACTTAGGATCAAACATCAGTACCCATATGCCGGGGTCCTTATGTCATGTGTGTATGTGCCTGGGGAACAAACACACGTGACTAACGCGTCTTCAGTTTCCTTGAGAATCACTTCATTATCCTGCCCCTCATCATGTCCTGCAAGTTAGGGTCTAGCATGGGTATACCCGGGTTAACCCGTGGGTGTGCCCGCGGGCAAAGTGCTGGCGAGGACGGTGCCCGTACCCGACCCGGGCAAAGTGACATGGGTATGGGTAGACCCGTGGGTGTACCCATGGGTACCCATGGGTGCCCACGGGTACGTGTATTGTCAAGTACCTCTATCTCGTGCTGATAGTGTATAGGGTAAGAATTATATGCTATCATTTGCTTTTGCTTTGCCCTTCCCCCTCCCTTCGCATCTGCCTTATTACCTGCCTCAATCACTTGAGCAACAACTTCCCCATCGGATAACAGAGGGGTCTTGATCCATGAGCCTACTGCTACCTGGGCCTTGAATGATTGCAAGGACATATTATGCCGTAAGTGATTGAATGGAGTGGT